GCATGGCTTGGACATCAGAGGACCCATGGTTACCCCGCCCTGCCCAGGAGTCCAAGGCTGAGGCCGAGACGAAGGTGGCTCTGGGATGGAGTCCTCTGCGGTGTGTGAGGGCTGCCGCTCAGGAGAGCTGCAAGGCGGCTCGGTGACAGTCCCCAAGAGCACGGGGAGAGCACAATAACGGGCCTGGGCCCCATTAACTTCCTTCATGGCTAAAGGTGTCTGCATTTCCCACTAGAGCAGGACAAGTTTATTATATTATCTCAGAGCCCCAATTTTCTCAGCATTTAATCCTAAAACACATTTTTTGCGAATATCTAGCAGCTTAAGTATTTGTTGGAATAAAAATGCTATTTTCAAGAAGTTCCAGTCATCAATGGTATTCTACACTTTAGTTATCAGAGGGCCTCTCCGTCCCTTAGAGACACAACTGCGAGTTCTTTTCAGGGCTGCGGTAGCCTGGTGATGGTCTGGCCACACATTTACCAGGGTTTCCATCCCCACGTGGACCCACAGGTGTTCCACTTGGGCGTGGAGCAGAGTTACCCACAAGGACATTTAAACTTTGACCCCATCCTCAGCATGAGAGGGCTTTAATTATCAAAAACTTGGAGTAAAACTTTTTCTAGCCCAATCCGTTGTGCTGTTTTTTAAAACAAAATGCTTCTGAATCATAAAAGTAAGCTTCCTACACGGCTGCTCCTGCCTGTTGGGTTTCTAAAGGACAACCCATGGCTCAGGTTGGCCTTCCCGAGAACCTGGACCTCCTTCTGGGCCCACGGGAGGCCTCCATGGCTCCCTGGAGCACGGGAGCGGCAGAAAGAGGCCAGCGATTACGCAGGCACTGGGAATCGTGTCTTGCAGCATAAATCAGGTGTCTGCATCCCAAGTGGGCTGGCTGCCCACGGAAACACCTGAATATCGTACAGTACCAGGCAGCCGCTCATGGAGGTGACAGAAGTGTGAGACTGCGGGAAAGCTACTCGCTATAAACCTGCCCCTGGTCTGGGCAGCACAGGCATTAAAAAGCCCAAAGTCTGAGGCGTCTGCACATTTCACTGATCTGTGGTGTCCTCTTCCTCGTCTTCTCCTCCCTCCTCTCTTCTTTCTGGATTTCTCAGCATCCACTGAGCATTCCTTGCTCTTGTGCAAAGACATTCCCAGGGTTCCTTGGCCACGGCCCGGCCGGACCCCAGTCCTCTGTGGGAACCGGGGAGGAGCCGCTCCAGCCTGCTGCAGGGAACACGTGGCAAACATGAGAGCTGAACTGGGAACCCGCCCCCACGTGACCTTTGGAGTTTGGTCCCCTTGCTGACCCTCAGAGCTCTGGCTGTGAACTCGGGGACTCGAGTGTGGGACTCACTGCCATCAACGAGGGGTCACGCGGGAGCCGGGCACCACCTGCAGCTTCCTGCGCTCGGCACGGCCTCCCGTCCGTGGGGCGTGACTACTCACGCGGGACAGGAGCGTTTTCACCTGTGCTGTTTCCCGCCTCGCCTCGCCAGCGCTCTTTCGTGCTGCTTTCTCCCAGTCCACTATTTCATCAAAAAGGCTTTAAGGACCCTGCTCTGGTGCAGAAGGGACATGTGCACCGGTGGCGGGACAGTTTCTAGAGCATCATGCAGGACGGTGCTCCAGGCTCAGCCTTGGGCCACAGCCGCACCGTCAAAAGCAGATTTGCGCGGATCCCATGGCCCCGTGAGGAACGCAGCAGCTCGGGGTGAATTATCTGCCCCGCTGAAAAGCATCAGCACAAGCGGGCGCACTTCGTTGCACCTGCTCCTCCCCGGCCTGCCCCTGCCTTCTCACAGAGCCAGCATCCTGGCTTAGAAGGCGTCCACCTAGGGCTGGAACACATGGCGAGGGAGAGGTGCGTGGGTTCTAATCCCGGTCACAGGTCCGCGGCGCACGGTGTGAGAAACACTGCAGGGCGCTGCCCCCAGAACCAGCCCAGCTCTCTGCTCGATCCAGCGCTCCTTCCTCCCGCTCCCTCACCTTGTGGAGCTGCTAAGGAGGAGACTGCTGGGGATCTTGGTTTGCACGAGGGTTCATTCACTTAAGCATCTGAAATTCATTTCCCTGGAGCTTTTGCTACCTTTAAGCTTCCCTCCCTTTCGAGCAGCTGTGAGAAGCCTCCTGATTGTGCCAACCACCCCTGCACAACGGGCCGCTCTCCATGAGGAGCTGCCACAGCCTTGCTGAGTCTCGTAGCTTCAGGCCCTGGTGCTGCCGCGGCAGGGCCGGCTGGGGAGGCGCCTGGGAAACCGAAGCAGGGCCCTTCTGTGGCGTCTGTGACCCAGAAAGCATGAACCTCAAACTTCACAGGGGGCTGCTCCCCGCCTCCGAGCCCTGAGCCGAACCTGCAGGCTCTGATGCCCTGGGCCCCGCAAGGCAAGCCCAGCCTCCCCCCAGCAAAGCCCCCGGGCAGAGGGCGGCGCGGCCTGACCAGCGACAGGGGACTGGCAGGGCTGGAAACAGCCTCACGAAGCCACCGGGTCCCTGCAGAGTCAGCTCCCACACGCACAAGGGGCCCAGCCCAGGCTCCTGATCCTGTGGGTCAGACGTGAGGCCAGAACCGGTTTCCCCTTTTCACCTGCCCGACGGTGGTGCCGGTCTGGAGTCCGTGACCCTGAAGTGTTCGCTTTCCATCACGCAGTGACAGAATGTCATTTCTTGTTTTGTTTGGGTTTGGCTTTGGCGGGGGTGGAGGTGGAACCCAGGGCCCACGCAGAGTTACACTCCCAGTTTTTTAAAAACATTGTTTAAATTCTAAGACAGGGTTTCACTAAGTTGCCCAGGCTGGGCTCCAACTTTCAATCCTCCTGCCTCAGCCTCCAGGAACGCTGGCCTTATAGGTGTGCGGCACCACTCCTGGCTGAGATAATCTAGAGGAAAGGTTATTTTAACTCACGGTTTCAGAGGTTTCAGTCCATAGGCCTGTAGATCAGCGCGGGAGCTCCTGGCTGAGGAAGCTGCTCACCTGCTACCGGCTGTGGGAGGAGCGGGGAGGACAGGCCCTGTGACCTTTGACTCGCACTCGGCCTCACCTTTTAAAGTGTCCACGGCCTCCTGCAGCACCCACCTAGGCTCTGATTCCTCTGATCCTGTAACACAGGAACCTCCGAGACCTGCCAGGTCCAAACCGCACTGCTGTGCCTGTTGCTGGTCTAGATCCTCAGGTCTCCCGACCTCGGCGCAGTTGGTGTGGCAGGCACATTCCTGGCCAGGCAGCCTGTGTTCTGCGTTTTCAGGATGCTCCGCAATGAGCTTCTCCCAAGTAGCTGGCAGGGCCCCGGGGCGTGACAAGCAAGGATCTCTCAGCCTTACTGACCTTGCCTAGAATCCAAACCCCCCCCCCACCAGGCAGCCATCGCTCAGCACAGCTAAACACCAGGCACGGAGGGGCCCAGAGCCTACGGGGCAGGAAACTTACACTCTCCAAGAGTAAATGACCATCTCACAAGCAAGGGCGCAGCTTTCAGCTTCTCATGAGTCACAGCCAGGTGTGGTTGCAGGTCGCTGCAGGTCCAGCATCCTGGGTTCTGACAAGCGTTCATGATCTCCCCGGCTTGGGAATTTGATGACCGTCGCCAGTGCACAGCTGTCCTTGGTTCTAACCTGCAGCTGGCTGGGTGGTGGTCTCATTCCTGAGTGTCCCCGCTGGTGATGCCTTCACCTTGTCTCTGCCACTTGTGACAGAAAGCAATGACCTGCACCACGAGGGAAAGCGAATGTTCCATGCCCAAAGAAGAATTTGTTTTAAAGAAAAACAAATCAACTGGAGCTTAGTGAAGTTTTGCAAATGGAGATCTTTTGACCATGGACCTTCAGTCCACCCAACTTGGAATGCAAATAATGATAAAGCCCCACATCCCGAGCTGTCAGTCATGGTGCACACCTATCACCCACCACTCTGCGGCTGAGGCAGGAGAATCCTAAGTTCAACCTCATCCTGGGCAACTTAGCAAGACCATCTCAACATAAAACTTTAAAATGGGGTGGGGAATGTAGCTCAGTGCATAGGTCCTGGGTTCAATCCCTACTGTAAAGTGGTGGCAGGGGTGGGGGGAGCAACACACAATCCCAACCCCACTCCGGACCTGCGGACTCAACAGCCCCTACCAAGAGTCCAGGTAAGTCCCAGGTGCACGGAGGCGTGGCGAGCAAGGGGCCGGAAGTTACCCATGCTCCCAAGTCTTCAAGGCTCCTACCCTTTCTGGGATTTAAAGGACTTCCATGAAGTCCACCGCCCAAGGGCCATCACATCAGGGTGTCACCCAGGGCCATACATGGGGCTCAAACTCCGGAGCACCCTGGAATCAGCTCTGCCCCAGTCCCAACCTGGCAGCTTCAGGGAGGGCTAAACTGAGTCAAAGCTGGGAACAGTGAGCTTCCCTCCCAGCCCTGGGGGAGGGTTAGCCAGGGTCCCCCAGAAGGGAAGACGAGCTTGTATTTACCCTAGAGGTGAGGGTCCCGTCACTGCTACGGCTGATTATGGAGAAAGAAAGGCACCGTGAGGAAATTCTAGCCTTGCCCGATTTCTTTAACTTTCTTTATAAAATTTTTAAATTAAATCAGGAAACATTATTGGACTGTGAGTAGACATTATAAATTTTAACAAAATGACTAGTACTTTTCACTTATAGTGCATATATATTGAAATATTTGCTTATAACTTATCCTGCCTTCCCATAAAGGAATCTGAAGCAAATGTTGACAGTGAAATGACAAAACATAACTAAAGCAGCTTGCTAAGGAAGGCATAACAGAGCAGTGTTGTCTTCCCGTGAATGGTAATGAACGTGTATCGTGTTTTATAGCCAAAAAGTATGTCAATGTAGGCAACACCTTTTTCCTAGCCATTAATGCAGATAATGATCATGCCCCTAGTTTTTTAAGCAGCAGAGTGTGTTTTACCCTAGTTGCCTGTGGGAAACATCAGTGAACTACCCCGTGCCCTTCCCAGTTGCAACACACGAGAAACAAAGACCTGATATTGTCCACAGTGTTTTATTTACAAACAATTGTTTGTATTCGGCCATATGGAAAACCACTAACATTTTTCACCTTAGAAAACATTAAATAATAAACAAGATGTTATACAGTACTTTGGATAACTTCTTCCATCAGTTTAGTGCAATGTTTTATTGGCACCTAAAAGTCAAATTTTCAATGATTTTCATCTTCAACTGTGCAGTCATATGACCCAAAAGGAAACAAATCATTAAAAATGCACCAAAGACCGTATTTTCTGGACTTTACACAAAGGCTGAATGATGTATATTCCCCTCCAGCCCTGCCTCTACCAAGTTAAACTACTAAGACTGGCTCTTGGGCTCTTGGGCCTATTGTTAAATGACATTTCCGTTTGTGAACCTGGAAAGATGTTGAGTGTGATGCTCTTACTGCCCAGGTTAACCTGTCACATGTGAAGCAGATCAGCACCTCTTTGCACCCAACGAAAACCTCTCTGACCTGTGCTCCTTGATTGGATCTCTCTAAAAACCTGGAACCTATTGAAATCTACTGAGCAAATGAGAGGCGTATACCTTTACCAGGAAAGAACTCCTCAACACCACATTAGGACATTACTGCATTACAACCACACCTGTCCACCACAACTCCTTTCAGAATAAATGGTTTGGGGAGTTTTTCCCTTTTGCATCTGTCTGTTTTGATCCTGCCACATTTGCCACAGAAGGAGAGATGTTTGAGTGAACTCAGCACCTTCTTCGGCCCCCTCTCCACTAGGAGGTCAGATAGGAAGGGCTGAACAATGGCTCTGTCTGAATCACCAAGCTCATACATATGAGTAGCAGGATCAAAACATCTTCTGGGAGATGCTGTAATCCACTGCTTTCTCCTAAGGGAAGCCTGTCTTACACAGGTGAAGTTCTCTCTAGTTCTGAGAGCAGGACATAGGGAGAGTAAGACCTTGATTTTCACACTTCTTTCTTGTAAAGGACTCTAAGTTAACAAGTGTCCCTGCCAGTAATCACTCCCTCGCACTCCTTCCTGGGCCCACACCCTCTTTGTCTATTCTGAGTGCCCACAGGGGACAGGTGTTCACCATCTTCTCCATGCCACCCCTCATACACCTGACAGCGGCCAATGGTTGGCCCCTTAGTCTTCTCCAGGTGAAACCATCCCAGACCCTCTAATTTCCCATCGTAGACCCTTTTTTCCTCACCCCTTCAATCATCTTTGTGATTCCTGGCAAAAGCAGAAATACTCTGATCACTCCATCAGACGTGAAGCAAACCCTCAGGAATAAGGCTGCCTTTCAGAAGTTAATTTTTTTAACGTAAAGGTAAGAAATGCAGGAAGAAGACGGTTGGGGGTTGGTGGGTGACAGAATTCCCATGGGGCCCTCTTCCTGAGGTGCAAGAGTCCAACACGCAGCCAGTGTCTCAGCTCCAGGACCAGAAGCAGGAGCTACACCTCCCGAGATGTGTCGGCTGGGTGTGACACCAGTACCAGGGGAGCCTCCTCACACTTCCTCCCCACTTCCTGCTAGAAACAGGGCTCCACCCCCCCAACAGCCAGGGCTTTTACAAAGCTTCTCGGGATGGCCAAAGAGAGCCATGTTCCATGACAGAAAAATCTGTCGACAGTGAGTAGGGTTTTCTATATCAACTGCAGTTTCTTGTCACCCTAAACGGATCATTATCCTTGGTAGAGATCCAATTCAAAACTATTAGAAAAATTCCATCACTCCACCACAGCCTGGCACCTCTGCCATTTTTCTCTCACTGCCAGTGGAAGGTCACCACGCTGGATGACATTTTGCCATTTTTTTTTTAAACTCCAGAGATCACAAGCTGCATTTTACTTTGCAACTAGAGTCTGTAAATACTAGGAACATGTAAATATTTAATACCAATAGCACATTTATACAGAACACAGCACTGCTAACAAGGAATATACCATGCCCACTCTACATAGTTGTCTTTATAAGAAAAATACAGGTAATAAGAATAAATGCATCTCGGTATGTTATACACCCTTGTTTATAAAGTGAGTGGCAGTAAAAGTCAGAGTTCAGGACGGGCCAGAACGAACTTCGTGGAGAGGGGAAACAAACAGGCACACTGCACATCATAGCTTAAGGGAAGTCAACACCACACACAGCATGACACTGGACAGAGAGCGGAATGGCCGTTTGCACAGAGTTCTGAAGGTTCCTCCCGGCGTCTGATACAAGCAGCGTTTTGTAACCAGGATGAAGGATGGTGCAGGTCACACACGTGCAAGGCCTCCCTGCATGGGCCACGGGCATGAAGGCAACACCCACAATGGCTTCGATGCGTCTGCACTCACCCTTGTCCTGCAGGGTGTGTGTGGGAGTCACTGCTCCCTGGGACTGCACAACAGCGAGCCAGTGAGACCTGGGTCAGCACCTGGACCCCTGCTGGCCCACTGGCTCTTCTCTCAGGCCTGGGAGGAGGGAGGAGAGGAGAGAAGGTAAGGACTGGAAAGAGAAGAGGGAGCAGCAGGGGAGCCACGGCCAGCTGTGGGTCGCTAGCGCTCTTCGGAGCAGGGGCCTCTTCTCAAGCTCACGTCGTCCAGCCCGATCTCCCCGGGATGGCCACGCCGCCTTTCACCCTTGAAGATGACCTAGGAGAAAATGCACAACCAGTCAGTCCATCTCTGCCCCTTTCTGTGCCCTTTTCAGTAGGAGAATACAACCTTCCCCTGAATCAAACACAAAACCAGGCTCCAGGTGGACACATGTGTGAGGTCACGGCCACGTCACCTGAGGCTGGTTCCCCACCTGAAACGGAAGTCATCGGGAAGTTGTCCTTCAGGCTCCATGACTCAGACTGGGTGACTCCTTAAAGAGCCACTTGGACTACAGACCACTCACCCCAGGAAGGCTCAGAAAACAGACACTGGGCAACAACAGCCAAGGTGAGAAGAAGGAAAAGCGTAGGAAGAGTGTGACGGAACAGAAGGGCCAGACACTGAGCCAAAGAGCCAGACGCTCCTAATAGCATGCAGCCTTCGGAGGTGCTCCTCAGCTCCTCAGCTCCTCAGCTCCTCAGCTCCTCCGACCCGGACGGGCCGAGCTGCACAGGACAGAGCGAATACCTACACCACCCGCACAGTGGGTGGCTTTGCCTGAGTGAGCGCCACTTTCGCTACTCTTGTATTTTATCTTCTGCGGAACAACCGTGTTCCTTTTAAAACATTAAATTACTCTGGGGATTTTTTCTTTTTGGTCCAAGTAATATAAATATTAAGAAACAATTTAAAGTGCAAAGAGTCAAACAAACACAAGTATGCTGATAACAGCCGTATTAACGGAGTCTGTCTTTTCTTCTACAGCAGTTTGGATACATGCTGTCTCTTTCTAGCAAAACTTTCACAAGCGTCAACATAAAGATGGTACTTTTCCAAACACACAGGTTACTTTGGTGGGATGTCAGGGATCGTGTCCTTGTTATCACGACCGTGTCATTTAAAACAGACTTCATATACCCCACCAAAGCTTTGTCTGAAGACAGCGGTACTTTCCAATTGCACCTTTGGGTTCCCACCAAGACTGCTGGCCTGGGACCTCTGAGACGGGGGGAATGAACTTCAAAGAAACATTTGCAAGGAAAATAAAGAACCTCTTCCACGGTAATTTATGACAGTAAAATCGGGGTTTGAGGAACTGAGGGAAAAGGAAAAGGAGGCACAATTCAGCTGTCACCCCAGCCCCCGGGTTCCCGTCAGCTCTCAGCTTCTCCACTCACGCTCTTGATGTCGGCGCCCCGCAGGGTGATCTGCGTGTGCCTCCAGCCTCGGCCGCTGTCTCTGCCCCACAGCGCTGCCCCGGGGCCACCGTGTCTCCTCACGGACACCTGGAGCGTGCCCGAGTGCAGCCCGGTCACCTTGTGCCTAAAAGACAGACACACGTGCCCCGAGTGCAGGAGGTGGCCCAGTGGCAGCACCAGGCGTGCGGCTCTTCCCTCGGGGGCCTTGGCCGCCACGGTCAGGTACTGCCCACCTGCAACAGGAAGAGCAGGGCTGTGTGAGGGCCTCGGGCAGCAGGGCCAGCCGCCTCGCTCTGAGCTTTCACGAGCTCATCCCTGGAATGGCCACCAGCGGAGAGTTCTGGACTTTGAAGGGGGGAACAGGTCTCATTTGTCCAGCAGTCTGAAGTTCTCTGATGTCTACAAACGTCATTCGTGGAGAACAGAAGTCATGTCAAAGACACAGGATAATTAGCAATCCAAGTGCTATCAATGCTTCAGTGGAATACAGCCAGACATACATAGTCCTACACACATTACACACACACACACACACACACACACACATCTCTGGCTGTGTCGTTCATACCCACCACCACCCGGGTAGTTTGGTAAAACTGACCCGGTGCTACATTTCCTGGGAGAAAGCTCTATGCAACAAAGCACGCGGGCATTTACTGAGCTTTGCCTGCTCATCCTCTCCTCTTCCTACTCTAAAGCAAAAGGATCTTCTGGAAACAGCACTGTTTACACCGTCCACACTGGTCAACCCTAAGCCCAGGGAGACTCAGGCCTCTGCAAACCCTCTGCCTCTTCTGGGGGCAGTGACTGTACTGGCGGAAAGGTGAATCTGTAACGCCACCTACCTCCTACGTCCACCTATTTTACGCCAGTGTATGTAAGTGGACACACAATATTAACCTTGCACTTGACACAGAACCTCTGGTGCCGTCCTTTGTCTCCTACAAAGCCGCTTCCCTCCATGGTTAAGAGAATTGCAATTAAAAAAGAAGTTGAAGCAGCCGTGTAGCAGGCGTGCTGCTTCTGAAGAGAAAGTTACACGCGGTATTTGAAACTCCATCTGGGTTCAAATGACCCTCCCTCAGGCGCTTTTATCTTTGCCAACTGAAAAGGGCACTCTATGTTTGGACACTGCTCTGCCCACAAGGAAAACACGGTTGGAACCCAGGAGACTGCGAATGACTTGCAGTCAGAACTGAACTTTCCGGATCTGGAAAGACCACAGTTCCAGGGAAGGGGACACATATGTGGATAGATAAGGGTCCAGCCTTGTCTGCTGAAAAAGGATAGCCTCGGGGCTGCGGCATCACCCTGCAGCACATTACCCCATCTGTCTGCAGTTTCCACTCCGTGAGGGATGGTACTGATTTTATTTCTCATGGTGAAGTTCAGGACTGACTGTGAAAAAAACCTCCTAGCACCAAGAAGGACAGTTACCAAACACACTCATTCTGTAGTTGCTGTTCAAGGTTGTAAATCTATTGATTTGAGGGTTTTCTTTAGCATATAAAAATATTTGCAAATCTAGGTCTTGTATAAGAAGTACACACCAGTAAATGAATCATAACTGGAAATGCAAACATTGTATATTCCTTCACAAATGGCACCATATGGATAGAAATAAGTAAAAAGTTTTTTAATTAGAATAATTGCTAGAAACTATTTATTAAATTCCTTATATTCTTCTCCGGCCTTCACACACTCCAAGGAAACCTCTAACTTCCACCTGAATGTCCTAGAAGAAAAGCAGGCACAAAATGATAACCTTCGCTGGTCCCTTCCCATTGGTGTAAGGCCGTAACTCCCCAACATCTTCTAAAAGTAGACTGTGCAGCTGCTTGCTGAATACGTCATGCATTCCCCACGTTCCCCAAACTCCCCGCCCTTTGGTTCCCTTCCTTTTCGCTAAGCTAACAACCTGCTCACTGAATCCGTGGGATTCCCAGGGCCCTCCAGAGGCTCTCACAGCTGCAGCTGCGTTGGAGGTTTTCTAACCAGTGCTCACGGGCTGGACCCCTTTCTCTCCACCTGCACAAACGTCTCTCCCAAGAGGGAGCCCCCCTCCCACAGCGCCTGCTCTCTTTTTAAACAGCTGTACTGGAAGCTGAGAGGGACCCTGTCTGTCTCTGTCGCTCTCAAGCATCCGTGCCCTGGTGGTCACAGAGGACACCTCCAACCCTGGGTCAGTTATTGGGGAAGAAGCCCAGCCCCATTCCTCCCCCAGGCTGAACTTTCTAGTTTCTTCAACTGTTTTTCACAGACTTAAGACATCCCTCTCCGCGGGTCACTCCGTCATGAGCAATGTAAATTAACTCTATTCTTAGACCAGAAAAATGTTGCCTCAGTCACTTAACCACAGCAGATTTTCCGTTCTGGAAAAGTAACAACTTTTTTATGGAAATTGGCTATTTTTTGAAAGTAATGTCACAGGGTTAAGTCATACTGATATCACTGTCCAGCAAAACTCTGAAGTCTCTCACACCGTGCTGAGTCACATCTTCTGGTCCCAAGCTGCCAGGCTGGCCTCTAGGCTGTGAAGCACACTGTGAATTTACCCCCAGTAGATTCTACTCTCTTCACTGGTACCACTAAGTCCGCCGGCTCTGTGCTGGTTGTATCCACACAAGCACTTTTCAGCTTTGAGTCAGCCACAGTTAGGTCAGCTGTCTTCAGTATCGAAGTTCAGTACACAATTAATCCAAGTCGTTGGTAAAAACTTGGCCAACCCTTGGAAAGCGGCCTCCGGGCGCTGGAATCAATCATCGGGAATCCTCCAACTGCCCACAAAGCTGCTGCTTCCTCTCCGTTCTGTGACAGCACAGCCCAAAGACTATTCCCAGCATGCTTTGCGCATGCTGCCCAAGTTCGCCACCGCTGAGCCGCACCCCAGCCCCTCCCTGTACTGTTCCAACTTTCATTCCTCTTCACATTTTCCTACCACAGGGCGAGGGGAATGGCGGGTCACAAATTTACACACTGACAAATATGATAAGTTAAAGAATGAATGTTGAGAAGTAGTAAGTTGGTTCTAAAATATGCTGTTTAAATTCTAAAACTCCTTTTAGTCGATTTTACAGAGACTGTCTTCAAACAGAGTGTCTACACAGAGGTGCCATGAGCTCTGAGCATAGCAAGAAGTACCAAAAAGTACTTCTAAAGGAATTCATCAGGACCACACACGTTATTCAGAGTCCTGTCGCACATGGTAGCTGGAGACCTTTCCTCCTCTCATAAGACATGGTTGGTGGTCAGTGCTGTCATTGCCCGTGACGGAGGTCAGACAGTGGGCCAGCAAAGAAGCCAGGGCAGTAGGACACATAAGAAACCGACCTGGGCTTTGGCATCTCCCTAGTGAAATAAAGACAGCATCACCCGCTCCTCGGGGTGGATGAGAATGAAAGTACCCAGCTGAGCAATTAGCAGGGGCCTTAGTTAGGATTAAAGGTATTCTGATTGTCTTGTTCACACCCTTGTGACAGTAACGACCTTGTCCTGACCAGAGCTGACTCTCAACGCGGGAGGGAGTGATGCATGAGTGTTTTGTGTATGGCCTACGTGGTTTCATAACTACAAGAAACACTGTAATTTCTTGAATATTCATAGTTTTAAAGGCTTAACCCAACTTTTTATTTTAAAATACTTGTTATAATTCAGTCTTAGGGAATTAATAAATACGTTTTGAATTAATTTTTCAATTTATTATTAAGTTTATTGGCACGTTGTAGGACTACACTCTGATCACATTCATCATGGGGAATTTGTACCTGTACATGATATATCTTGGTTCTTATTTTTCCCATTCCCCTTTCCTCCCCTCAATCCTTCCATTCCTCCCTATTTACGAAAGCTTTTTTCTACTTTTTCCTTCTTCTCTCATCTTTTCTTTTCCTTTTTCCCTTTTCCCTACCCCACCCCCAGTCTCCTTCCTCTTTCAACATAATCTTAAATGGAGTACTACTCAGTCATAAAGATAAACTAGAGACATTTACAGCTAAATGGATGTACCTTGAGACCATACTCAAGTGAAATAAGTAAGACAGACGTGTAAATGCCAAATTGTTTCTCTAGAGTGAGAAACTGAAAGTATAAATGAGGAACAAAATGTATAATAGATAATGTGAAATAGGATGAATTAATTTTTTAACATCTCTCTACTTGTGCACTCTGGGCCAGCAGCGAGGTATCCCTGGGGGTGCTGTTGGAAATGCACCAAACTCAGCACTTTTGGGGCCCCAAGCCATGTGCCCCCCATGGTGGGGAGCAGCTGTCACAAACCACAGCTCCCTGAGCTCACCTCCATGTGCCCCAGCACAGTTTACAGACCAGATACAGTAGCTAAGAACTGGGCTTCTGACATAAGTGAAACTTGTCTTTACAGCTTGTATCTTTTATTCTGAAAATCTAATTAGGAGTACAAAAATAAAAGAAAGAAGAAACCAAACATCCCTCCATTAAATTGGCCTAACTCATAAAAGATTTAATTACTGAGGGGAGGGAAAAAATAACAATACATAGCTTTGCTTCCTGAAACTAGAAGACAAACATAAATACTGAGAGTCAGTCTAATGGGAATCGTGCAGGTTAAAGTTCTGTCAGTTTTCCAAGGGATTATGTCCACATGCACCTCTCCAAGAACCCAATCTCTTTAATAAGTGGTGGTAATTTGCAACTATTTCGTCCAGCATCAGACTCCCAACTGAGCACTTCTGCAGAGAGAGAATACCACGTTGCAGGTCTCCAATGCCTCCCCTACTGCCCCTCAAATGTTAAAAAAAAAAAAATTAGAGGACAACTGAGACAACAACCAAGAAGGACAGTGACCCCAGCCCATTTGCCCCTACATTACTTCTTTGGTTCCTGGAGACCAGGCATTACAGAAACACAAACAACTTGAAAATTACACACTGGAATGAGTGCACACACGATTCACCAAGCTTTACGAGAGAAATTAGCTGGCCTTAGAATTTACTCTCTGTCTTCCATCAGGTCACTGCCTGGTATCTAACAGACTTGGCTCCCATGAGGAACGCGGGACATGAATCCCAGGCGGTCTTTCCCAGCCCTCATGAAGTAAGCATGGAGAACAGCCAAGGTGCCCTCGGCCAGCAGAGAGGACCCAACCCAGTGTGTGGGGCAGGACTGGAGGAAGCGGTTCCTACCTGCTGGGTCCCAGGCCGGTTCCCAGTGCGAGTCACTGTCCTTCTCCCTGATCCATCCACAGAGGCCATGGTCAAAGTTGCAGCTGTGCACGAGGACACCTGTAAGGAAGGGACAAAGGAGGAGATGGCAGATGTGACAAGTGACCTGCAACCCATGAGCATCAGTGTCACCTCCCGCCCACACCCAATGTCCCACAGCCAACTTCCAAGAGGAAATCCACCACTTTTTCTCAGTACAGCCCTGAGCTCAGCTGGGTCACCCATCATCACTTATAAAATGTGGCTTCCTGATCACAATTCAGACAGCACCATGTTGTTAAGCGGAAGTGATGATTCATGACTATTTTGGCTCAACTGATTTAACTGAGTTGTAAAACACACAAAAAAGAAGCTGATGCATCATTTCCCCAGTGGGGCTGAAAATTCTAAAGTTTAAAAAAGTCATTTCAATGAAATGGAAAAACAACAGAAGGTCACAACTGTGCCCACCTGGGTCGTCCTTCGCCTGGTCATCTGCGCTGACTCCTCTCTCTATCTCAAATATCTCAAACAGGTCGTTCGAAGGCTGCCGTGGAACTGCAAGAGAGGGTTCAGTGCTGACAGGAGCCTTGCCCTCCATTCGTCTGGGACCCCCGATCTTTACGTTCCACAATAAGCCTCACCAAGCGCATACTGCAGTGATTCACGCTGTAACACCGATCTGAGTATAATCTACAAAAATAATTTCCAAAAGTTTCTAAAATTCAACATAAAGCTAAGTTCAAGGCTTTCATCTGGAAAATACCTTTTAAAATAGCTTCTGATGTCTGCCAAGATAATAATCTTCACGAATTCTAACTGCACCTCTCTGGAAGCTGCGAGAACCAGGAAGGCCTCTAGTTGCAGCGAGGCCTTACCTAGTCTCCTCCTGCCCGTCCAACTCCGCACAGGCGACCAGAGCTCTTCCCTGATGCCCACTCCTGCTGATGAACCTGCCGAGCTCCACCTGCCCTCCAGTCGCAGTGCACGCCCAGTCCTGAGCGATGAGCGCTTTCTGGCCCAGGCAGAGTTAACTCTTCCCCCGGCTCCCACAGCAGCGCTCACGCTTGTCTGGCCCTCCGCGGGCCTCTGACGGCCTGGACAGCATCAAATGCAGCTTACGCGGGTACTTTCGGGGCACGCCCGGTGTAGGGCGCTCAGTGCAGGCTCACTAGGGAAATGCAGACTAGGCCGAGAGCCTCGTCTCCTGCTCCTCAGAGACACCGGGGGGGATGGAGCCAGAGAACCCACTCACAGAAGTCGCTTATGCAGCCATTCACCGAGGCACGTGTGACTCCCGCCCTCATGCCCAGCACCAGGGAGACGGGTGAGCGCAGCAGGTGAGGCCACCGGAGAGGCCCTGGTGCAGTCTAAATTTTGGGGGAAGCAGGCGGCACGCATGGGGGCGATGAACATCGGAGAAACGGACTCAGAGGAGGGCTGCGAGGGAAAATGCCCGGAGACGTCAGGACCTGGGCTGTGTCTGGGAAGCTGCAGGGGGAGAGGAATTCCTGGCCGCAGCCTGGGTGCTCCCTCCGAGGAGCAGGACTCCAGCCCATTCCCTCCATCAGGCAGGGATGAGCGAGGCGGGCAGCCCAGAGCAGGCGCCAGTCCGAGGGCTCCTTGTCAGTGCTGCGTCTGTTATTCTTAGCAGGAACTTAAATAACTGACACTGTCATATTTGCACGAACAGTTTTTAGCTCACAATTTCTGGATTCCTTTTCCTTTTTGTCTCAAAAGTGAGAGCAGGGAAGCCCGACCCCAACCCGGGTTCCCGCGGACAAGCCTCCCGCCCTCTTTTATGACTGACAGCACTGACACCCAATCACAGCTCTTCGGTCCTCATGAGGCTTGAGGGGGTGACACCTCTTTCCTTTCCTTGCAATATTAAAAAATCTTAGGGCCGGGGATTTAGCCCAGTGGTTTGGAGGCCTGCCTTGCAAGCACAAGGACCCGAGTTCAATCCCCGGTACCAAAAAAAAAATCTTAAGCATTCTTCGTTCCTTCTGACATAAGGTTATAAAAACAGAACAGTCGTGCTCTTGACCCTGTCTATACCGTAACTCATCTCAGAAGAGGAATCGCACAGGACTCTGTTCAGGGCCCTGTGACACTTTGCAGGCCCTCCCACCCCACCCGCGGAGGACCTTCGTGCAGAGCAGGCCTGCTGCAGGTGCGGACAGGGATGGCGCACGCAGGTGAACCGGCACAGGCGGTCCAGAGGCCCCCGGCGACCACCACCGCAAGGGGAAGAGTATGGTACCATTTTGGAGAATGAAAAGGGATTCCGGAAATGCTAACAACCCGATGCCCCCACGACCCGTCCAGCCGCCCCATTGCCGCCCCTCGTTCACAGAATCAGTCACGAGGCCGAGCGCCACCTGGGATGGCCAGCAGGGAACTCACTCGTGCTTCTGCATCTGTACTCGAGAGGTGAAGACGGACAGTGTTCGTTCTAAGATGGTTGGCATACTACCCAAGCCAGTTCTGGTGTTTGCTGGACTAAACAATGAAAGATAATGCTGCTTAAATTCCTTGTATGCTCATGGGTTTGGTCCATGGAAGGGAAAGGTGTATGTGTCACCTTCTTATATTCCCAAGGCTCTTTCTGGGGGACAGAACTGGAGACCCCAGACCAGAGGTGGAACGAACCCTCCCCACTCCCTCCTGTTCCCGCTCCAGATGCAGAGCATAAGCAAGAGAGAGGGAAATAAAAAGCTTGGCACTGAGCTCCTGCAATTTTCCTCACCACATTAGAGAGAGTTCTTCACCATCTACCATTACTGGCAATGAGAAACGGGCTGCTGGTTACAGAAGCAGGACTGTGCTCGCCAACATTCCCGTCGCACAGGAAGCATCTATAGAGCTCAAAAGAGCAGAACTGCTGGGAGAAATTAAATCTCTGCTGAAAGGCAGAACACAGTCGCGGCCACTCAGCAGTGAGGCCACTCTGTGCCACAGCTCCTTCTCTTTCCTGTACCATGTGCACGTTTTATAAAGAATCAGAACAGCTCTGCGGCGTGGCCTGGAGAAGTCCTGGGAGAGCTGAACAGCTAAGTGATGACGGCTGTTCTCCAAGCACGGCCAGCTCTTCGCTACAGAGAGAACATCTCACAGGTTCATCCTGATTCCTCTGCAAAAGCAGAGGGCACGCTTGGCCCTCAGTGTCCCGGGCACAGCTGGGCACCTGTACCCCGGCGTCAGGCAGGCTCTCCTGGACGGGGGCCTGCGCTGAGCGCAGCCCAAACAGCCCCTGGGGGTGGGGAGCAGACACCACCTCCCCTAGAGGACAGAGCGACGTCCACCGAAAGGATGGAAGGACACTTCCACTGCTTTCCATCAGACCCCTCACCCCAGCTCCCTGTTGGGACAGACTCCTCTCTGCAAAGGCCCCCTTTCATTACCGCTGTACTAAAAGAGTTGCAGTCTTTATTTCAAACATCACAACTGTTTCCCTTGGCCCTGTAGATACCTAGACGAACACAGCATCCCAATTATGCAGAAATAAGCAAAGTAGCAAACATCTGTTTTCATTTTTTTCTGCTCACACAATAGCTCACATTTGCAAATTGTTTCAGAAAGATCTGGTTGGCCAGAAACAACAGTCAAGTTACAATGAACTATAAAAATGCATCAGAAAACACACACCCAGAACTAGAAGATAACATAAAGCCATTGTTTAAGATTAATTAGGAAGCGCTATCATTATTATAGGAACGAACCCAACACCAATAGCAGTAGTAACTGAGCGTGCACTGAGTTCTGACACGCCAAACACTATGGGGAGTTTGATGTGGACTTTCTCATTGAATCCGCTCAGCTTTCCTCCAAGGTACACATATTATCATCCCTGATTTGTAGGAAATTTTAGTAACATATCCAAGTCATAAATGGCTAGGACTACAATAGTTTTCATTATACTTCTAAAGATAAATGTAACTTCATTTTTTTCTAAAAAAAGTCTAATTTCTGACTTCGGTCATATTCACCAAGAACTCAATTTATACTTTCTGGAGAGAAGTATTTTTTTCTTTACCAACCACCACAGAATCCAATTAAAATATAAATCAAAAATCATGAAAACTTTCAGAATTCACAGCACCACAGCCTGACCTGTAAGCAGCAACAACTTGCTAGGTTCAAGTCCGGAACAGAAATTCAATCTGCAGGGAGAGGGCTGTTTACCAGAGAACAAACTAGTTGCAAGACCTTTTCACCCCACAGCAGAAACAATCTTTTCACTCATCAGCACACAGAATCTGGAAGAGAAACCATCACATCTCCACCACTAACAACTGCGGGATCAAAGCAGCCACAGGCTGCGAGACCACAGAAGGTAAGAAGGGGACCTCAGGACAGCAGCGGGAGTGCAGCTACCAGCAGAGATGAAAGCGGTTTTCTTCCTGCTCCCAGCACTGAGAATTTCCACACATTCTCCTGTCTGCTTCTCTGGTGCAGCCTCTCCTAAGCATCTAATCCATCCTGCGTCCCAGTCCCGCCTCTCCGACACCTTTTCTCTCCATGGTATGAGGCAGGTGAGCACATGCCCAGCACGAGCACAGCAGGCTAAACCTCCTACATCTGGTTAGTTCTGTAGCTAAGACTCAGTTCTGCTGGGTGGAGCCTCCGTTACAGTTATAGTCCTGTGGCCCAGGTGTGGTCTGCAGACCTGGGGCAGCACCTGTGAACTTGTTAGAAAGGCAGGATTGGAGATCCTCCCCAAGACCTGCTGGGTCAGCCGCGTGAGTCGGGCACACAGTCAGATGACAAGAACTTTCCTCAGAACGTCCTAGGGAGTTCATCCGCTGTGGGGTTAGAGCAAACATCTGAAATCAGCGCCTCCTCTGGTCATGCTGGGCCAAATCAGCTTCTGACAACATTTTGGAGGGAATCTGCTTGCTGGCCCAAGCAGTGTTATATTCCTTGTAATAATCTGAGTCTTCTGCTAAAACTGGACATTCTGGAAGACTTGAGTATAAAGAAAAATTTGAAAAGTCAAAAGTAGAAGTTAATAAAACATTTAATGAAGTTTTAAAAGCCAGTGAATGCAAACTAAATTGACATGATTAAGAATCAGAGTCCCGTGGGTTTTTGTTTTTGTTTTGTTTTGTTTTTGCTTTGCTTTAACACACACAACTCAGTCTTGTTGGGAGACCAGGAGTCTGCACCTCTGACCCCTCTCCGAGGAGTCACTGCTACAACAAACTGCTGTGATCTACGATGAGGGAATGAGACAAGATGACAACATCACCCAGAATAGAGTGAAAAAAAAAATATATATATATATCCAGGGCCACTATTCTTGTCTTTTTTCTTCTAGACTTATAAGCATCCACATACATTGAGATATGTATTTTATGTCTAATTGGGGTCAGATGGTATATGCAGTTTTGTATCTTTTTTTCATTTAGCATTTTTAACACATGGGTATTTTCCCGTTACTAAATATTTCCTAGAAGACATAGTTGATATGAGTCATAAATTTTTATTTATTATATTGCTAAAGCAGAATGCATTCTCTCTGAGTTTCTTATATTCTGGGTGTGCATGAGGTTTTCCTTTTTTCCCCTTTTTTTAGTTTTAATTCTTTGCTCTGAGATAGCTCCTACCCACTTCCTTTGATGCTAGACTTTTGTTTCATGGTCTTCACCTTTGTAATGATTGCCCACAGTGTACCCCTATATTTCACATGAGCACCCCATGACTAAATCTGCCTTGCTGCTTTTAGTCTGACCAGCACTGTCCTGTCCTCCCTGAACCCCATCACTCCCTCCAAATGATTCTGGAACCTCCAGAGCTCATCAGGGGGCAGCCCCAGGCCCATCCTCCTGGCTCAGCCCAGCCTGATCTGAAGCTGACTGCAACAAACTATAATCCAAAGCACGAACTAATCTCACAATAAAATCCTGTTGGGAAATGATGCATCTTATATTAATTAAGCATCTCCTAAAGACGTACAGTTTCAAGGCATATTAACCTAAAATGCAGAGGGCTCCTCCAATGAGATTTACTTTTAAAACTTCACCAGAGGTGGAGAAAATATTCAATGAAGAAATGATGATGAACTGAGTGTTCTTTTGTGTTTTCTGTGGATAGATACTAATTGTTTTGCTGAAATAAAAACACAGGACTCCTCCCTGATTGGAATATACACTATCTCCAAAGACCACAGGTATTTTCTCAGGCGCTGACCTCACCCAGCAGCACCGTGGGTCTAGAGTGAGGGATTTGCTTCCTGGCGGCCTTGCCAAAGGCAGCGGTGCTAGCGGTGGCCAGCACATGTCCTGGACCAGGACCAAGGGACCCTCTCCAGGGCATCTTCAGCACCACTTTCCCCATTGTACTCCCTCGGGCTTCAATGCTACTTGTAGTTCACAGGCAGGCAGGAATGGAAAGGAATAATGGAAAGACAGACTTTTTTTTTTTGGTATGGGGATCGAACTTAGGACCTTGTACTTGCAAGGCAGGTAGGCAAGTGGCTGCACCACTGAGCTAAATCCCTGGCCCAAGAAAGCTTTTTAAAAATGAGACAGTATTAAAATGAATACTCAGAAAGATGCTATCCCCATTAGAATGTCTTTTCACCTTAATCACCAAATTTTCTTCACTCCTAAGGCAGCAGAGTAACGTGATTGTCATATTTAGTTAAGCCATGAATTAAAAAGCACATTAAAGGATCACTAAGAGATGGAAAAACAGACAAGCAAAGGACAAAGAGAAAGAAAGATGAAATTACAAAGTATGAACTTCAAAAAATAGATATGTACCGATAAAATGTATATTTTAGAGTTACCATGTAATTTCCCTAAAAATATATGGATTACCCAAAACACACAGCCACCACAGAATTAAAACTCCATCTCTCTTTAAATGAACAGTGACCTAAGGGAAAAAAGTTTAGTTGAAAGTCACATACCTGGGAAAAGCAGTCCAACTTTTCTCCTTTAAAAACTATAAATATCAGCATGTTAGTCACCCAGTAAAAACCTACAGAGAATTAGATATAAAAGACACAAAGGGCTTGGGATTTGACTCAGTGGTTCTGGCACCTGCCTCGCAAGCTCAAGGACCGGAGTTCGATCCCCAGTACCAAAAAAATTTTTTAGAAAAAGACACCAAAGTTTGATTCCATCATAAAGAAATGGGTAAAGGAAAAGAAGAAACTGGTCATGTACAGAAAGGTGGCTGAAGGAGTGAATGCAAAGGTAAAATACACAGATTAAAACAGGACAAATGAAAATAAAAAATACAAAGTGAAACGACATTGAGATTCCATCTTGCCCCAGAAAGAACCCCCGTTCTCAAGAAATGAAACAATAACAAATGCTAGCAAGGCCATGGGGGACAGGAGCCCTTCCGCAGTGGTGGGGGGAGTGGAAAATGGTGCGACCACTATGGAAATCGGTGTGAAGACTGCTCAGAAATCTAAAAGCTAGAATTCCATTTGACCCGGCTATGGCCCTTCTAGGCATCCTCGTGCACGAGGTCAACCCATCACACCACAGTGGCACGCGCACACCCGTGTTTACAGCCGCACGACTCACAACAGATAAACTTTGGAAGCAGCCTGTGTGTCCATCAGAAGACGGACGGGTAAAGAGAAAGGGCTATTTGCACGCAGTGGAGCGCTACTCCGCCACGCAGAAGGACAAGCTTAACTCATTCAATGGATGCACCTCAAGACCATAATTGGGGGAAATAGATCAGTCACCCAAGTTTGAATATCACACGGTTTCTACCATAGGAGAAGCCCAAGATATAAATAAGAGCAAAACAAAGGACAGATAATAGGAAGTAGTGAGGTGGGTTTTCTCAAACAGGAAGGGGAGTGACAGACGGGAGGGAGGGACACAGGGGAGAGAGAGGGGAGGAGAGAATTCAGATGCGTCACATCCATGCACCAATTCCTCATGACGAATGTGACCATTATGTACCGCAAACATATGCTAAGAAAAATTAAAAATAGAGTAAAACTGCCAACCTTGGCCTGGTGATACGAGAACAACTGTTCCCTCCAGAACTGGCCGCTGCCCAGGGTCAGTCGGTGGCACCACTCCTCAGCCTGTCCCCGCTCATCTGGCCGTGACACTGCCACCTCCTGGGCCTGTGGCGCTGTCCCTACTGCGAGCCTCCTCCCTCATCCCCTCACCCGCACCCTTGGGAGGCCTCCCTGCAGCTCTGTAGCACACTTGAGCACTTCCTCCTCTCCTTCCCAGAGTATCCTACATCTCTCTCTCTCGAGAACACAGGGCCACAGCACCCCAACCTGGGTGACTGTCCTTCCCACCAGACAGGAGCCCTCTCTGCTTTACCTCCACAAGCCCAAGGCCCTGTACAGGCCCGGGCCCTCTGACGGTCACTCCACGATGTCCACTGAATGGATAAATGAACTGGTGGATTAAAAGTCGGGTGGCAGGGAATACAGATACATTTTCCACCTCTGAGAGCTTTCAAGTGAGTCCCACTGTGTTAGAATTCCCGTACCAGGTAAGAGCTGCGGCAGCCCCGTGACTGTGACAGCCCTTCCATTCCCACACGTCCTCTCCGATCTGCCCACCACACTCCTCATCAAGAGGTCTAACCCTGCTGGACTCACTGAACACATCTCCTCTGGGCTTCTGCGGGTCCGTCTGTATCCTGTTGTCCACTGTGACCCCTGGCACAGAGGTACCGGTGGCCGGTGCTGCCGTCGTCAGCCTGGTTCTTGGCCATTCTGGGGTTGGAGGCAGCATAGGAGCTCTGAGCTCTGTTGGCAGGGGCGGCGGCGGCGGCGGAGTTGGCTGTGGGGTTGGCTTTGGCGTAGGCTTTGGTGTTGGCCTAGGGGTGGGACTGCTGGTGAGGACAGGAGGGACAGAGGGTATCCGCGGAGGCCACTGGGTACTGCCAGCCTCGGGGATCCGATTGCTTTGTCCTCCGTCGCCCTTTATAATGGTACCGTTTCCCTGTGGCCCATGGACTGGAACTGAAGGTTCGATCATGACTTTGGGAATATCTGCAAGATAGAAAGATTTCAATCAATACGAGATAATTTTTCTCTAAAAAGTGGAACATCAGGCTGTACAGAAAACACATGAAAACATCTACACCGACTAGTCTTCCTTTTCATATTCACATTGCTCCCTACAGCAAGCTGTGCTATTTTCCAAATGACAAGCGTGTTCGGACGTATGCAAGAGGAATGAGCATCTGCATGAGGGATATGTATCACTGAAACACAAAGAGGTTTAACTGCGCCATTTCTCTGAACACTTGAGTGCATCCTTTATCTGCCTCTAGTAAATCCTTCTCTTGTCTCTTTAAAAATAAAAGCTTTAAATATTTGCAAAGTGGTAACAGCAACAGTCAAGAAGATCAGATAAAATACACAGATGTTTTACGCATTTCTGAGTAGCACATGTGTGTAGCACGCATGTTGCATATATGTGTATATGCTAATAAAGCTGTGGTTAGAACTATCTAAAGATTAAAACTTTTCTCACCCACACTTTATGTAAAGTCAATTAATGTCTAAACAGTTTGACTAAATGGTTCTACATCTTGTATTACAGTTGGCATTTCCTTCCCTCTTATTAATCTACACAACTGCTTTCTAAAAACAGTTTTCAGAGGTTACAAAGACAATTTGTGAAAACTTTCCTTTGGTAATGTTCACCAAAAAGAATCAATAACCTGCCCAGAATTGTATCCTACAGACTGGGAATGAGGACCGCAGGACCCTTTAATCCCTTTCATTTTATACCCCATGGTTTTCAGTAAATATTTTACTCGGGAAACTTTAAAAATTATCTAATGTTACATGAAAGTATGCCTTTGGTTTCCAAAACTCTCATCTCAGAGAGCACGCATTTCTTCATGTTTGCCTAGGAATACACCCACTGCTCCAAAAACAGCTTACAAACTTAAAAGTGAAAGTTCTGAATGTAGAGAAAATAAACATGGGAATTATTTTAATAGAATTAGAAGACAAAACAGGCAACAAAATCGTGGACTATCATCTGATAATGATAATCTGATGCTGATGACAAACATTTATTTCCAATTTTAACAAAGTTAAATTCTCGGGGAGGATTCTAACTTTGTTTCTAGCTAAAAGGAAGCTATAGAGGGATTTTAGTAGAGGAATTGTAATGCCTATAAGATTAGAATGTATTACTGGGTTTTTTAAAATACACGAGCAAGTGGTCTTATTGTTTGTGAAAAGCCCAGACTCGTCATAGCCGCAAACATAACAGCTCCTTGTTAAATGTGCTCCTGTGTATTGAACAGTACTGTCATTCGTGCAGGATGGGACAGGAAGGGGAGACAAGAGCGTACAGTGGCACAGCACACAAAGGCCCAGCCCTGGAGTGGCCTATGTGTCCATCGCAGATGAACGGTGTAGGAAAATGTGCACTTGCCCACAGTGGAGCACAACTCTGTCACAAAGAGGGATAAACGTGGGGCACTTGCAGGAAACACATGCGCCCTGCAGAGACACATTGCTAAGTGAAATAAATCAGATATACGAGCTTATATGGTGTCTCTCATGTGAGAAACCCAAAGTGTACATAAATCAAGCAGCAAAATAAAAGATAAATAACAGGAAAACAGGAAGACAGATCTTTTGCAAATAGGACAGGGACCAAGAGATGGAGGAAGAGGGGAGAGGGGAGACAGGGGAGGCAAACAGAACTAACATGTTACGCACATGTACCAACCACCCCCAAGGCGCGTACCTGTCATGTACCTCAAAGGTGCACCATACAGTTTTTAAAGACACTTTTTTTTTGGTACCGGGGATTGAACTCGGGTCCTTGCGCTTGCAAGGCAGGCCACCGAACCACTGAGCTAAATCCGTGGCCCGAGAAACGATTTTTAAAAAGCTACTCACACACGCAGCTCAGCCCGTCACCTTGGTAACCCTCGATACACTTGCACTCATACGAGCCGTGCACGTTGTAGCACTGGGCAAAGCCGCTGCACTGGTGCTGCCCGAGGGCACACTCGTCTATGTCTGCACCAGAAAGTAGGGAGAAAATGGTTTGTTTAGGAGCCAAACAGGAAGACATGGAAAGTACAGTCTCAAAGGGGAGTGTGAGTGAGTGTGTGTGTGTGTGTGTGTGTGTGTGTGCACGCAGTAACAGGGATTGAAACCAAGACATTCACAAATGACAACTCCAGCGCCCCCTCCCCCCGGCTTCTTGAGGCCAGGTCTTGCTAATTTGCTAAGTTGCACAGACTGGACCAAAACGTGCAATCCTCCTGCCTCAGCCTCCCAGTGTTGGGATTACAGGTGTGTGCCACCATGCCTGGCTAAGCTTTTTCTTTCTGCAATATGAAGGTCGGTGTAAAATCAGCAGATAAATGGGAGAGATACAGTACATGTGGATCCAGAGCTCGTGGTGGTCAGGTTTGTTTGATGTAATGTCCCCCGCCTCCCCGGACACAGAGGAGGTCTCTAAACACCACAGGGGGAAACCACGGTACCGTGACACTGGTATTTGCCTCCGGTGTACGTGAGCTCGAAGCCCTGGTGACACTTGCAGACGTAACTCCCGAAGGTGTTGACGCACTGTCTGAACCTGGGGCAGGACACCCTTCCCACGGCGCATTCGTCCACATCTGGAAGACAAGACCAGCTGTCTTTGGAGGGGCAAGGGCGTGTTCAGCTCTCAGAAGGGGCATCCAGCTGGGCATCCAGCACAGCTTCCTCTCCAAATTCCGGCCGGGGCGACACAGGCTGCTCCTCTCCGCACTGCCTGCGTCTGCCCAGCTGCTCCAATGACAATGAGTCGCCCAGCCAGCCCGTGTCCCCGGCCTCCATTCATCAAGTCCTCCAAAACTGTCTGCCCACGGCCACTGTCTGTCTGTCCCCGGCCCTGGCTCAGGGCTGGGCTACTCTGAGTCCCCAGACTGGGGCTTCTGCCAGCCTCGCTGCAACCCACATTTCTCCTGTGTCTGTGAGGCCGGCAGCACCTGGCGCCCCCTCCCACCCACGCCCCGCATGCTGGCTGCCTCCCTCACCCCCAGCCCAGGGTCCCATGAGGTTCCTGCTCTAGGCCCCTGACCCTGGACTTCTCTCTCTCTCTGCCATGGGATCAAAACCTTGCCTGCTCTGTCTGTCACCATCCTCCAGGCCCTGAGCACTGGGCAGGGACACGAAGGCTCCCCAGTGCCTCCCGGTCACCCAGTACCTGCCTCGATCGCCACCCTCTGCCCGTCCTAGAATGAGGCCCACACTCAGAGAAAGCAAGCCCCCCACGCCTCGTGTCAGAACGTGGCCCAGCTCCGTGCACACACAAGCTGGCCATCCCACGCGGCCTCACTTCTGCCATCCTGGAACACCTGCCCCCTGGGCCCCAGGCCAGCACCGAGACAGGTCCTCCTCTGACAGAGCCGGAGCCCTGCAGGACACCGGCCACCCCACTCCTCACACCCGGCGTCCACGAGCCTGCAATGCTCTGCTCACCCACACAGGTCCTCCCGTCGGGAGCCAGCTGCAGGCCTGGGGAGGGGCACTGGCATCGCACCTGCCCTTTGACAATGTCACAGCCGTACTGACAGTTTGCCATGGAGCACGTCAGGGCGCCTGGAGAGAGAGCGGCCGTGACTCAGAGAGGCGGAAACCACGAACCAGATGTGCAGTCTGCTTGTCCCCAGATCAGTGACACTGAATCAGCAGAGACCGAGAGGCCTCCGTGATCCAACAGTCTGAAGAAGTAGAAATGGCCCTGGGGTGGAACGACCCCCTGACTGGGAGGCTGTCACCCGTGTTCTGGAAGAATCTGTAGACAGATGTGAACTGTCCCTCACTCGGACTATGTGGAAATTTCTCCCTCGGCCAAGGAAAGAGGTGTTTCCCAGACTGCTCCAGCTGAGTGCCGCTCTCAAACCAAACCTCCAAGTGACTGTAGCGCTGGAGCCTCTCCAGGACCAGGGGCCAGGGGACCCACTGCGGGCACAACAGCGGATCCCAGTGTTAAGGCCACACCCTGCTCATTCCCCCAAGGTCGTCTAGGCTCACACAGAGCCAAGTGCAATCAGCTAACCTTCTCAGTGTTCAAATGCAACCCGGCTGATGAGTAATTTGGTAAAAATAAAAATCAAGTTATTGGTTGCTTAATATCAATTTGATGTTCAGCCTGAGGAGAATTTCAGGGCCCTGTCTTTTGTCCAAAGGACATCAGGGACACTGGGTATTTCTTCCCTACAAAGACAGACGCGAAATATACTTTTCTGACATTCTTTCCTTTTATGCTTTACTTTTTCTTTTAGAAAAGTCTTAGACAATTATAAAAGTCTAAAATCTTCAGACTATGATAGAGTAACGAGAATGAAGAAAGAAGGATTTATAATCACTCAACAGGCCAGATGCATTCTGTCTGAACAGGATGGATATAATATTAGCCAAATCATCACTACTGTTCTTTTTTCTACCTGAAGTAGTTGTTTTGGATCCCACAAAAGTCAGGAAAAAAAACTTTGAAAAAAACATTTAGGTAATGTCCTCAGTTTTGTTATTCTTATCCTAAGTACTACTTCCAAGTCAGCTTTGACATCCATGGTAAAAGAACATCACACATCTAAAACAAGTACTCTTAGCTGGCTGTGGTGGTGCACACCTGCAATCCCAGCACTCTGGGAGGCTGAGGCAGAAGGACTGCAAGTTTGAGCCCAGTGACAGTCCCAAAATTTTAAAAATAAACATAAAAAAAGGGCCAGGGATGCAGGTGAGTGCAAAGGAAAACCCTGGGTTCAAACCCCAGTATTGCCAAAATAAAGCAAAATGGGCCCCCTTCGTTTTGATCTGAGCTCCTGGGCACACACAGGAGCGCACTCCACCTGGGTGAGGCATGGAGAGGCCATTCCCTCCCGCCGGATGCCCCGACAGCAGCCCTCGTACTTGCGCAGGAGCCGTCGGGCATGGGCATGTGGCCGCTGAGGCAGTAGCACTTGTAGCTGCCCAGCGTGTTCATGCAGCGGTGCTTGCAGGGCCGCGGCTTCAGGCCACACTCGTTCAGGTCTGGAAAGAAGGTGGGGGAAGCAGAAAAGAAAGTCACAAACTCCGGCACTCGCAGGAAACACGTAGAGCTTCTTGTGTGGAAACCCGAGGCCGAGAGGTGGGGAGAGGCTGGCCGTGCACGGAGGGGCCTGGTGTAAACGTGTCCTCCTGTGGCAGCCAGGCCTGGTGCCCGGGACCTCAGAGACGCTCCCCGCCTGGCCCCCGGATTCGGAGCAGGGGCCCCATCACCCCCTGGCTGTCACTCTGCCAGCGGGCTCGATGCCTTCTGTGTCCACGGGACACGGCGTGAGGAAGGACAAAGCACATTTACTCTACCGGAAAGGTTACGAGTTCTAAACCTCCCAAAGGGGGGCTGCACTTTCAGAGGATGAGACCCACAGGGACCAGTGTGGTCTTTCTCGTTCCTTTTTGTAGAGGCCACACTGACCTCAGATTAAAGAAGAAAATCCTGCTTCCTACTTCTCTATGTACCCAAGTCACAAAACTTTGAAACAATTCCTCCGACATATTTTCATCCTTTAGCAGGGAAGAGGGGCATACAGAAATGCTAATGGACAGGACATAATGAACTAATCATCACGATTTTATGTTCATTGATTTCAGTATCAAGATGAAACGAATTCCACATTATGAAAGTTTTCCAAGTTGAGCACCGCCTCAAAGTGAACCTAAAATGTGTAATGACACCCAAACCCGGAAACAGGAATGCCTATTACATAGACTTCATTAGGAAGAAATGTGACCATGTGTTTGTGCATCTGATTAGCATAATTTAATTATCCATTAATGTATTTCACTGAATACTAAATATGGTTAATATATCTAGTTAGAAAGCTATTTTCAAATCCAATCAAATTTAAATCTGACTGGCTCACCAGTTGGGAATCTATGTGCTTCATTTATGTAAACTACCAAGTTTTGGAGGGTTTTGTTTTGTTTTGTTTTTGGTGCTGGAGATCGAACTCAGGACCTTGAGCTTGTAAGGCAGGTGGTGGCACCACTGAGCTAAATCCCCAGCCTACCAAGTTATTTTTTAAATCATCGAATAATTATTGTATTTAAGAATATTCTCACGTCGTACTTTTCAGCTTGTTTCTTTTTCTACCCATAACAAAAACGTCAGCAAGTCTGCAGCTGTGCAAAGCTAGAAATGTTATAATAAATAAAGAGATAGCTTTGTTCTTTCCTCCGCTTTCTACAATACTGTACTCTAGTCTCCTGCCTGGTCAAGCGTTTTCAAAACAGTATTTCCAAAACTTTTCCCCATAGAAAGTGACCCCATAAAAAAACTGATTTCTCCTTTTATTAAACAAACTAAAACTTGAGGAGGAATGATTAAGAATGAAATTCCCCTTTCCATCTTCTCCCACCTTACATTTGAATACTTATTGAAAATCTGAGTCACGGTATCTTCTCTCTCAATTTCTAAGAGGAGTTCATTATCACTCCTAATAGGATCGTGCAGCCTTACACTTGGCTTAGATAAATCCTGATTAATTTATATTAAACGGTATTTAAATCTGAGCATGCTACAAGAAAAAAGCTTTGCATCTTGAATATTTTTCTGCAGAAAAACATATAACAAAATAGCACTAGCAGGCAACGGAGTACAGGGCATTGATAGGTTTTTTAAAAGCATGACTTAACCCTCAGGTGTATCTGCAGGTTTGGTCCAGGTGGCCCCTAAGCAAAGCTGTAAACTGGAGAAATTGCTTGGCTGTGCCCCTGGGCATCCCTGGGGCTCCTGGCTACAGGACTGGCCTGAGATGAGCCCTCGGGACCAGGACCGCCTGTGGGCACAGCTCCACAGCCTGGCATGCCCTGCTCAGCCTTCCGTCTCTGTTGGTGGGGACTGTGGGGTAGGAATCACAGACCCAAAGGAAATAAAAACTGGTAAACTCTGCTAAGTCCAGACACATCTGGGAATCACTCTATGAAGCAATAGGGAAAAGGAAGGCGACCCGGAGTGTGGCCTGGGGACCGCAGAGCTGAGCTGTGGCTGTTTTACCTGTTGCTGCTCCGGCTCAGCAGTACCCAAGTGTGTGGGAAGCAATCTGACAAAGAAGTACTGTGAAAGCTGCCGGTGAAGGGGGTGACTTCCCCGACAGGTGGCCGTGTTATCTCCAGTGGGGCCATCACTGCCCCACCCGCCCCAGGCAGGTGGCTCCTAAAAAATGTCACTGTGAGCCTTGCCCAGACCCCCTCAGACATAAAACACAGGCCCACGGCCCTCCGGGTCCACCAGTGTGGGCCACACAGCAGATTCTGCTGGGGCAGGAACCCTCAAAAGGCAGTGCTGCTGGTGACCTGGGGAGGACGGCCTTGCTCCCTGTGTTCGGGAAGGTTCCTATTTCAGAATTACGTTAGCTTATTTTTTTTGTTACCTTATTTTTGTATTGCTCTGAAGCCTTAAATATTGAGTTAATATGTACTGCCTCCAATAAATGCTGTGTTCATTATCATAATTTACTGCTGTTTAATCAACAGCATCATTATTAAATGTAAACCATAAATGAACAATATTATTATTATTATTAGAAATTCAAAATAAAGACTATGAAATGTCTCCTTGGCCCACACGGTCTCAGATCTTAAAAGTTGTTAAGAGGAACTAAGAAATAAAAATTAGTGGGTTTTTTTCCCCCCTGAATTTATTTCAACACTGCTTTCTCTGGAAGTGTCTAATGAAATACAAATTATCAGGAAAATCCATAATAAAGAATGTGATGAGTTCTGTCATGTACCTGTCAGTCTTCCACCAAAGGGTAGAATTTTAAAATTAAACCACTTACATTCAAATGCTTTAAATAGGACACACAGGATTGCTGGGGAGCATTAGCATGAGAAGGGTGCTGACAGCCAGGTGGGTTTGGGAACTTGGGCGGGAGGAGAGGCCGGAGAAAGCGCTCCAGAGCAATGCAAGCCGCCGCTTTCTCATTACACTTCAGGGGCAGGGCGACCAGAGGGGCCGGGCAAGCAGACACTGAGAAACAGCTTGGAAAACACGAGAACAAGATAACTCAGCGGGGCTTTCAGAATCATCTTTCAATCATTTTAATGCATTTGAGCCCTCTGATGCTTAAATTGAGCAATATTTCAGGAACCTAAGTTTTTAAAATTTACCTGATGAAAGTGAGGTCACGGGCAAGCAGATATCAATGGGTTAACTCTGGTACCTTCAACTGATTAAATTATGGGAAGGCATTCAAATGTGTCATATTCTTTATCAGCTGAGACCGTTATTAAAAACCCATTTTATTTCAGTAATTCTGAGTCCCTAAACCTATGGATGGGGAGGAACACAATCTCTCAGAAGAACCGTGGAATTATCTGACCACTTTGCTTTTCTGTACAGCTTTCCAGCACGGTGAAGATGTTAAGGTGTTCTGCGATCCTGTTTTCACACCAACCCTGTAGGCACACGGGGCAGGGAGCACGCTCCCCCCACGACTGGCTGGTTTGCTGGGCCCCAGACGCAGTAAATGACCTGCTCACGAGCAGTCACTGGAAGCAGGACTTACACTTTCTGACACCGCAAGGTGCAGTGAAAGAAAGAAGCTAGGGTTTGGCTGAAGAAAGGGGGTTCACCCACTCCTAAAATCCACTTGGCAAGAGGCATCCAACCCTGACTCAGTTGCTTCCGAATTCCTGACTTGGTCTACATATGAAAGCAAAAGCTGTTCGCTATCAGATTTTTGGAAAACATTTTACAATCCAGAAAAGAGGAGGAGAGGTGGTGACACTGATACAGTAAAAGGACAGCAAGGGCTCCGGGCGTGCTCTGAGCAGAGAAGGAGCAGCACAGGACACTTCCTGCCGTGGGCTCCACGCGCTCGGGCTGAAGGCCCTGCACTCCTGGCCAGACTCCAGCACATTCGCAAGAGGTGACACAGCGGCAGGAAGCCGTGCAAGGACAGAGCAGGTCACCTGCGACAGCGCGCTCACCCTGTGAAGGTAAACTGGTGGCTCGATGATCCGGGGGGTGGAAAGGAGGCTGCTCACTGCCTTGGTCAAGAGGAGCTGGGCAGGAGAGGTCATCGTCGTACCGGAAGAAGGTAACAAGAGTCAGCTGTGAACTGATGTCATTTTTAGCTCTAAAAATCTTTACAAGTATACAGTAAGCAATTACACAAAGTTGAGGGAGTTTAGAAACAACTCATTAGATACTTCTCCAAAAAAAGTTTCTAGTTTGCCTTCTCCTTTTATTTAAATTTTATTTTCCTAAAAAACATAGGTCATCTTGCTTCTCAAAGGCAACATGCATGTTATAAATTAACAATGCAGCGATTCTCATACCATTTTTTAAAACCACTAAAAAATAAATGGTCATTTTAAAAACCATTATTTTAGTCATCAATAGAGGACAAAAAAATTATACAAATATGACGACAGTTAATCCAGTAGGGGTGGTAAAGCCTTAAATTAACAAGTTAAGATCTTTTTCATATATTGTTATATTGGACAATAACAGTTTAAAATATGCAGAAAGTGTGCAAATTTATGATTTGCATGAAGATCTTATTGAAAGAGTATCATGATGGATCATTGATGTTTGCATTCAGAAGTTAAGAATTTATACCACATTTAGGTCACACAATTAAAAATGGAAGCTTTATTCAAAACATATGGTTGCCAATATTAGCTGTTACAGTTCAGACCTAAAGTGTCCCACAAAGTCTCATGTGTTCAGAGGCAGAGCCTGCTCAGAAGGGGCAGATCACTGAGGATGCGACCTAGAAGTATCTACTCTCATCCTTGGTGCCTCTCTCCTCTGCTTCCTGATGCCATGAAGTGAGCAGTTTTCCTCTGCCAGAGCCTCCACCATGCCCTTCATGCCTTGGTGTCAGCTGACGATGGATTGAATCCCCTGAACTGTGAGCCAGATTGAACCTCTCTTCTTTGAGGTTGTGGATATTGGGTATTATGTCTCAGCAACAGGAATACTAATACTTCAGCTTAGTAGCAAAAAGGAAATCTCATACTGTTTTAATAATCAGTTAAACATTCAAATAAAATGCATATTCATTTCTGGGGTGGAAACCATACTTCTTTCAAAAAGTAAGGCTGTAGGGAATATTAATTATCTTAACATTAGCGTTAAAGCACTTCAGTTGGTTTAGTAAAGTCAACTTCTAAGTAGAACTAGTACCCAAAACTTAATGTCTGGTTCTGTGAGACAAAATACTAATTCTTTTCTTGGAATAAGGAATTCAACAAAAGAAACAAAAACCAGGCCAAAACTGCTGATATTTATAAATTATTTCTTCTGAAATTAAAGTATACTGTAAAGTCAAAAGAATGTCTTTCATTTCTAAAAAATATGAGATGATTATACTAGTACTGATGTTTGGATGGGGAGGAGAAGAGCGGTGTATATGTACAGAGACTTTAAGAGGAGAAAATTATATGCATGGGTAAAACCCCCAGAGAATGAGAGAGGGAGAGGCCAATGATCAAAGCAAAGGTGGTCAGAATCTAGATCAGAACCTCCTCTCCTGCAGAGGGTATTGTGGGCCTTAGGGAGCAGCTCGGGGTCAATCCCAAACCAGGACCTCCGATCTGGTCTTGGGAAGCAAATCCAGATAATGACTCAGAGGGAAGACTGAGCCCAACAGCAGCCTCAGCCTGTGGCAAAGCTGTTAAATTAATCCGGCACCAAAGCTCCAAAGTGCCGCTTTCCCGGCTCCCTGCTCTCCTGGCTCCCTGCTTGCTCCCAGACGGCCCATACTCATGCCTTTTACCTGCCAAGCAAGTTTCGGAGGAGCATTCTTTAAAGTATGTAACTCAAAACAAACTTCTTAACCAATGCTTTAGACCAAACCTACCTCTAACCAATCACTCATTTCCAGGTCTGTAAAATGATTTCAAAAGGACTTCTTCACATTTCTCTCCTTGATAAAAAAGAAATGGGCACGATTGCCCCTCTATCTGAGATGTATTTTCTGCTCTATGAAAGTGTGGGCCTGGATGGAAAGCCTCCTAGGTACAGCTTGGCCTCCCAGGTGCTATGAGGACTCCTGGTCCATGGGGTCAGAATCCACCTTGGTGGGTGCACCAGGCAACTCCATAGCACCCTTTCAAGGTCCCATGACATTCAGAACTAAGAACCACGACACCCATCAATCACTTATTTATCAGATGTTCACTGTGCACATGGCATGCACAAGTCAGCTCAAGACAGCTTTCTGGAGCCCAGAGATCAGGCACACAACAAAAGTCCTGCAGAGAGCAGGACTCAGGAACATGCTACAACTGTCTTTTCTTCTGTTTTCTGAGAGCAAGAAATGACTAAAACACTCATGTTTACTCTAAGCTGGGGTTTTATTTTCAATTGTGCTTGAAATTGTATTTTCAGGGTCTATGCTTTTTTTTCGCAAGTGAAAAATCCCATTTCACACTATTGAAAATCTTCTCCCTAAGGAATATGGCTCTGGAAGGCATGATTTTAACACAGCATAATCCAGTTCTCTTTAGAAAACCAGGTACAGGTTATAGGAAAAAGTGCATGGATTTCTGGAAATCAAAGATGCCCAGCAGTGGAACTTCATTCCTAACAAGAGTCTTAGTGTCTTTAAAGGACTAACGTTGATACAGCTCCTGTGAGTAAATTTAAATGAACTTCTCTGCCATCTCAGAAGTGGCTTCCTTTAAGAGTCTTCTTTCTGTAAGTTCCTGGCATTTGACAACAGAGCCTTAGAGTGTTGACACATTAATGAGACCTCTAAGGTTATGGTTACCACATTAAAAGAAGAATATTCAGACTCTGAGATGAATCCCGATAACTCAACAATCAGAACACAGCAGGCTGCTACTTGTAAACTCACTGCATTGGGAAAGGAAGCTCAGGTGGGTTTTTATGAGTTAGCCAACACGACTTATTCCAGAAAGACTACCCGTGTGTGTGTGGTAAACTCCAAGCTTAATAAAAAGTATCATAAGACAGAAAGAGAGCACTGGAAAAAATCAGTTATAAATCAAATGCTGATAATATAAGAATGTGCTTTAGGACAAGTTTCTCCTACCACTGGGCTAGGTCACATTTTACTGTCATGGACTTCGTCTGATGAATAATCACACATACTGCCAAACATCAGTGTTGTGGATGGCTGCAGAAACTGTGACCATAAATCAGGGCTTGGACGGCAGCCCTCAAGGGCATCCTGGAATAGATATCAGATACTGAAGTGTTTCAACAATGTCATTTCTGTTCCCACAAAGTCAGTCAGGTATGTGTGCCTAGTGAGACCCCAGCCACATTATTTCACATGACACTTAAACTCAGGAGTAGTACTGTAAGGAATGAGAACACTTGATTTTTTTTTCTCCTGTTAGTGAAATCTAGCCCTAACTTTTCTTCCATCATAGTGTTTCCATTCCTTATAGTTGCACGTTCTGGCTAAACTTAACTAAGAGGACAAGCCAGGTCCAACTTTCTGGGTAGAGTCTGAAGATCACATTTCTTGTGATACAGCAGCAGGTAACAAGGCAGAAAGAAACAACAGCTCAGCCTGCCTGACATACTCACTTTTTAAACCAACTACTTCTGGGCTAGGGATTTAGCTCAGTGGTCTGCCTTTCAAGTTCAAGGACCTGAGTTCAATCCCTGGTACCAAAAAAAAAAAAAAGAAAAGAAAAAAAACTACTTCTGTGGCCTTGGGTAAGACATGCAATACCTTGAGCGTCAGCCTCTTCAAGTGAAAAGTGGAATAAATGAGTTATTATTTTTATCTTTACTATGATAACTAGCACACTATATCCCAATGTACTTATAAAGGTAAAAACAGATTTTATACATACAAAAATCTACTTATTATGGGACACTATGTGTATCAGAATGTATGTGTTCATAAGCAACTGATGCTGATATTTTAAGTCACTTCCTAAACTAATCAACATTTTTTTTTCTCAGAAGTGCATTCCCCACTAGCATAAAGTTGAAGGGAGGTTTAAAACACAACCAAAGGACTCAGGGTTGGAAGGGACCTCCGGATTTCAAGCACCTGGATTTCAAGCCCCACACCCCACCTGGCTTTGGGGACTAAAGGGGCCCAGCTGGGGCATGAAGACCCTCACGGTTTCCGAAGGCCTCCTTCCACTCAGGTACGGGAGGGACAAGAAGTACCAAATGTCACTCTTCTACATGATTGACAGTGGCCTTCTCTTCGCAGTACATTTCAATTAGCACCAGAGAACAAAAAGTAAGGGGGTCAAATTAATTTGACTGTCTCTTGAGGAAAAAACAATCTTATGAGATTCACCATTCTTGCTTTACCCATCAGCAAAACGGTGGCTTGCACACGCGGGGAGGGCGGCCACGGAAGCCAGTTTGGCTGAGCAGCATACACTGCCCTACCTTGATTGCAGGTCTTCCCGGCATATCCAGGGTGGCACTTGCACTTGTTCGGCCCGACACAGTCACCATGCTTGCACTGCGGGTGGCACACAGCTGGGGAAAGACGGAACTGTGTGTTATCTCTAGACCAGCAGCACAGCAATCACACAGCACTACACAATGGACCAGTTTGGTAATAAGGGGAAAAAACGAAGTAACGAAGAACTTCAAGTGGCAGAAAGAAACAAATCAGTGTTTTCTGTAGATACAGTACACACAGGCCGTGAGTGTGTGTGTGTGTGTGTGTGTGTGTATGTTACTTGGGGCTGGAAATTTTTCTAAACTTGAGGCCATGACTCAATTTAAAAAGGTAACACTGCATACAGTTGTAACTGATGTCTGTCTACAACTGTAACAACAATAACTCACATCACTGGTTCCCCATTCATTTTCTCATACACACTTCAAAAAGGTAGTTCTTAGTCCAAAGACACTGGCTATGCATAAGATCCACTGGCTACGTAATAACACACTTAGTGTGTCCGAAATGATAATCTAAGTGTGAAATGATTCCAAGCGGAACATAATCTGAAACAACGTTTTGGAACTTGGCCCAGGCCCTCACCAGCATCCTGCTCTTTACAACCCCGGTCCATCCTCACCGCCCTCCCACCCATGGTGGCCTTGCGGACAGAGCAGCCGGAGCTCGCGTTTGACCTCCACTCCCTTCCATCCACTTCAGCCCACTTCCCTCGAGACCTGCAAACGCTGAAGTCGCCTCTCAGGGCTTTTCCCAGCGTGAGCGGAGTCTGTTCCTTGCGCTCATGCCCGCAGCTCTCGGCTTCTCTCTCCTTTGGGCACACGTGGCAGCGCCCTGAGGCCCTCTGGCTGACACACGTGCAGAAGTGCTACTGGCTCGGTGGACAGAGGACGGGGCGCTGCTCGACACCCTAAACACAGTGCCCACCTGAAAATACCAGCCGAGACGAGACGGCTGGCCAACACCGTACCTCGGATGTCCATGATACTAGGCCAGACACCACAAAAGGTAAAAAATAATCACGCAGCACTGTTCCTAGGGGCCTAGAATCCAGATGCAGGGACAAACAGCCATGTGTTTGTAATTCAAGGTAAGATTTAAAACTAAGCAAAAGGGTGGTGTGTACGAATATGAAATGTGTGAGGAAACCATCACGCAAGCAAATACACACCAAAAGCCTCACGGGCAGGGGCTGTGTTGGATCCTGAAGTGTACAGACAGAAGGAGAGGATCACGTAAGGAGAAAGGGTCACAGGCAAGTGGACCAAGGTGAGTTAGTGGTCACTCAAGATGCTTGTGCCACTGAGAAGATGGAAGACGCCGGTGAAGGGCAAGAAGCCATCGCACCTGAGTGATATCTGAAGGGGTTTCTTGAATTTCACTGAGAAACATGCAGTGAGGGGACATTTCCCCAAGTTCATCATCAGGGACACACACGGAAGTGCTAGGGACACGGGCAGGGTGGTCCCGTGCAGGACGGCCTGGGGGAAAGCACTTGGCACACAGGTGAGTTTGCAGGCCTGACGTGTGCATGGACGGAATACACGGTCCTGAGGAACCACCGAGTGAAAGGCGGGTCAGCCTGGAAGACCCAGGGAAACAGAGTCACGGTGACCCTGCGGTCTGGAGCCCCAACCCTGCGCTTCCCTCGGCAGCCCATCAAGTCCACCCTTCTGGGACGGCTCCAGCCTCCGGGCCAACCAGTCCACACTGCTTCCTCTGAAACTGCAAACGCGTATGCCTGTCCCCGGGCGGCCTTCACACTCGCCCTCTCTCCCCACCAGCCCTTCCCTTGTCCGCCCGCCTCCATGTGGCTTTCTTTGCTAATTTTAGGCTTATTTGCTGCAGCAGCTGGATCTGCCCCAGGGTCACTCCTTGCACTGTGCTGCTCGGGATGTATTTACCTCAAAAGCTTCTGGGGAGAGCAGAACGGAAGTTGGAGGGACTTTAGACCTGGCATTAAATTCCAAGGGACACAGTTTCGTTGGGATTTGTGAGAAGAAATGATGTGTGAGCCTTTAATTAATGAATCGCACACATTTACTCTGTGTCATCCACAGCTTTAAAAATTAGTCCCAGAAACTAGCTATTCGGTGTGCAATTTCCAAGCCTCACCCCCAAGAAATCTGAGTTTGAAAAACAAAAATGTAATCTTTAAGGAAAAGACCCATAAATCATAATACTTACATAAGAACACAATCTGAATAACCAAGTAGTACACAGACACCCAGAATGTCACACTTTAAAAAATTAAACATCTCAAAATCATTATACGTAAGTCAAGGTACAAAGCCTCCTGGAATAACTGGCATTTGAAAATATCTGTAAACATATGACAAAGTAGTTTAGAAAGTGTCACTTAAGATCACGAAGAAGGGTTTCAACAGAGGTTCTTGTAGAGCGAGAATAGGGTTTCAAAGTAAGAAATTAAGTATGCTCTGCTTTCCTTTAAGGGAAAAGCATGCAGAAGTTGACATGGGAGAGAACAGTCGAGGGACAGTTAGACAGGGCCAGCGTGCTGCCTTTCGAACCCGGGCCACGGCCAGCTGCTTGGTCATTCTGTTCAGGTTCAGGCGCTCTCCAGGAACAAATGGCTTTTGTGTTCCTCCTTCCTTTTTATCCCTTGTGCCCTGTCTCGGGCACATCAAATGCACACGTTCCAGGAGGGCCGGACTGTTAATGTTTCTCCCACATCTAGGGACGCAGGATGTTAAGCAACGAGCCCAATGCACTTCTGCCCAGGAGGCAACTTCTGAAGTGACCACCAAAACTGCCAGGTCAGCCCACAGCTGCGGAAAGTCAGCTCACACAGCCCATCTTTCTCCCTAGAAAAGGAAACACTGCAGATTTTTGACAAAATGACTTTACCCTGCTACCCTGTTGGCCTCTGTCTGGGCTAGAATTCCATAAACAGGGATGGGACACCTGGACGTGTAATGTTACTGCCCCAGAGGAGTGTGAGGGAATGAGAGGGTTCCAGGGAGTGCATGATTGTCTTCACCAAGACAGAAAGACGACAGAACCCAGGGGCATGGATGGCAAGTATAAGGCAGGTCATGGAGAGCCTCAGGTGCGAAAGAGGCAGCTGGGACTGCAGACAGCATTCCGGGGCCCAAGAGCAGGGGGCTCATGAAGGGGCCATGGGTGTAAGTGCTTCACACAGCGGACCTATGATGCCAGCAGCAGGAAAGCGAAGGCAGATCACACAAGGCCAGCTGGAGTCTCTGGACTCTTCCCAGTTCCATCTTTCCTTTTCCCTGCTGTTTTAACATAGAATGGCTTATGTATTTTTATTCTTATTGTTCTGAGTGGGTGATAAGTTACATTTCCTATCCTCCTTGGCAGGGGGACACAGCCAAATGACTGAACTCTGGCAGATGGACGGGTAAGCAGAGGTCACAGGAGGGGAGTTTGGGGTGCTACATAAAGGGTGAAGGGTGGGTACTATATGGGCCTCCTTGTTTTGGCCCGCTATATGGAAGTCTTGGCTGAACTACAGTGGCCTTGTAGGACCCTGAGGTGATCCCGGGAATGGAAATCATAACATGAACCCTAAATTCTTTGTGTCACTATTACTTCTGGCCAAAGAACTGGCTATTCTTGAGCACCAGCCTGTGGAATCTGGGCTTAATATATGTATTATCAAGCTGGCAAAGGACATGCAGTTAGGAGAGAGGAGTTACGGGGAGATCCTAGCAGAGAAATAAAACCTATCAATTTCTTTTGTAATTGGAGTACCTTATACTTGTGGAAGGAAAATAATAACTTCATTTCTATATCTAAGAAACTAGTTTAGAAAGTGCATAGCTATTTTAAAAGTAGAGGAAATGACCTCCAACCTTGAGGCAAACTGGCCCACCTTTTAATCACTCCTTCTCCCGTAAAGTTGGCCTTGGGAGCCAGCAGACACCAACCTTTATAACACGCGTCTGTGAACAGCAGCGCCCCAGAAGAAAAAAGGACAAATAGCGCATCTTCACCTAGCAGTGGTCTTCTAACACACCGGAACAGTGACGCAGCAGACTCAGGGCAGATCAGACAGGGCAGCGCCACTTCCCTGAGCCACCTGTGGGTCAGAACTGGAAGTCCGGGCCGTATTTGGTGGTCCGCTGTCCCTGGCATCCACATCCAGTCCCACATATGTGATTTTTTTTCCAAAAGTAGTTACCAGCATTAAGCCCAAATAGGTAAATCACACTCAAAATTTACTAACATTCCTGTGGCTTAATCCCCAAAAATGCCCTTAAAATAACCTCTAAGTCATTGTTTTAACTAGAAAAAGAAACAAGTCTCCAGTGGCAAAGCAAACATAGCTCTGTAATCCCCGCGTCCACCTGTTCTGTCTGACAACAACATCACATTTTCCTCTTAAAAACACATCCTAACGCTGGCAAGGCTGCAGAGTCCAAGTGCACCCTCTTCACTGTTGGTGGGAAAGTGAACCAGGACAAGCACTATACACATCAGAATGGAGATTCCCTCAAAAAATTGAAACTAGAAACTCAGCTACTTCTCTTCCAGGGATCTCCCCCAAAAGCCAAAGATCAAATTATAGTCATCGACACAGGCCTGTGGTTATAACAGCACAGCTCATGATGGCGAAGTCTGAGAGGCAGCCTACACACCCATCAGTAGATAAATACATAAAGGGGCATTTGCACACCATGGAGCACTACTCTGCTGTAAAGATAAACGAGTTATTTGTAGGAAACCGATGCACCCTGAGACATAATGCTAAGTGAAATAAATCAGACACACGAGCTTAAATATTACACGATTTTTTAAAAGTGAGAAACCCAAATTATAAACAAAAAGCAAAATAAAAAGAGATAATAGGAAGTAGGGAGAGCGATCTTTCTCAAGTGTGAAGGAAAACGGGAGATGCAGGGATGGGAGAGGGAGAAGGGATTTTAAAAAGGAATTAAAATATGCTGTATACATGTAGCAGCTCCACACAAGGAATGCAAACATATCACTGTGTACTGCAAAAAAAAAAAAAAATATATATATAT